AGTCGGCCTGCGGGCTTGGGTGTTTGGTTTTGGGTTGGTTTTTGGGGTCTTCGTTCCTTTCTCCACCATCTGTCTTTTCTTCCCTTCCTTCAACGATGACCTGGGCACCATGCCCACACGGCGTCCGTACTCGTGGAAAAAAGATGCAAATGTACTGAAACGGACATCCTCCTGTGCACGGAATTGACGACCACAAGACAATAAGCTTTCTTTTTTTCCTGTGTCTCACCATCTGCTCCCGAACTGATTCGATCGTGTCCGATCGGGTTCCGTCGTCCGCCTCAGTGATAGTCAAGACTTCAACACCTTCGGTACGGTTTCCGACTTCCTTCATCTCGGACTCCGGTGATGTGCAAAACTCAACAATTAGGATTTCGGTACACGTGACCTTATCCATGATCACAACCATCTCCCGATCCAGTCATACGGCACTTCGAATGAAATGAGAAATGCTCTGACAACTCCGATCGTCTCCATATGTTGTAAAGTCACAGCTCTCGACAATGCCTTGGTCATCAGGTCGGCACAATTCTCGGTGCCTCGGACAAAGCTAATGGAAATCACTCCCTTATAGACTGCATCTTGCAAAAAACAGATCTGAATATCTATGTGTCTCAATCTCAACAACCCTGACATCTCTGTGACATTTCGGGCTGCCATCGAATCTGTAAGCAAATCTGGAATGGGTAATTCCTCAGCTTGACATCCATATACATGTGCCACGGCATGTTGAATACCTATAGTTTCTTTCGCTCCTTCGAACAAAGCTTATAGCTCTGCCTCGGCTGAGCTACAGGCTACACTCTGCTGCAACCTACTGAATGCTTTGGCACAACAATCATTGACGAAGATGGCTGCTCCTGAAGTACGTTTCTTGCGAGTTCACTTGTGCTTGTTTGCAACCATGTTCATTGCAAGTTTGTGCCTAGGTCACCTTGTGGGGTTTCATCTTTTGCAGTTGATTGCAACTTTGTGAATTTGTCAGGTCTTGAGGTCAGAGGTTTGCGCGGCATGGTAACCCTAGATCACCTTTTGCTTCCTGAGCTGACAGGTAAGTTGTCCTTGAAAGCTTTGTGCTTTTGAGGATCTCGATGAGGAGGTTTAAAAGGGTCATTGAGAAAAGGAATCATCCCATCAATGACCCACCTCTGAGAGATCCTCTTTACACGCTTGTCCTTGGTTGATTGCGTGTTGGTTGAAGGTCGAAGTTGATTCTTTGATGGATCTGGAGTTTTGCTTGGGTTGAGGGCAGAAGTTTGGATCTTAGTTGATGTTTGATCCTTAGTTGCTGCAAGAAAAACGAACAGCAGAAGAAGAAGACAGAAGAAGAAGGCAGGTAGCCCTAGGCGACCCAAGAAGGGGTGTGAAAAGTAGCGTACAGCGCACGTGTACAGCGCATGGCTCACCTAGTGCTTGCTTCTTTAGGTAATTTTCGTTTTTAGAGTGCTTGGGGTTGGAGCTGAGTGGAGGTCTGTGCCCTTTTTGTGTTTGACCTTTGACCACCTTAGCAGGAGGATGTTTGAAGTGGCAACTTGTGGCTAGGAACTGCGGGGAGAACCTTTTGGTAGAGCACGATGTCTTTGGAGACTGTTTGAGATAGCCTTGTGTAGTTTTGTGTAGTTTGGAGATGACTAGGTGTAGTCATGTACTCTTTCAAGAAGAGTGGATGAGCTTCAGAGAAGCTTAGAGGACTTTTGGAGACAGTCTATGAATGACTGTAACTTTGGCTCAAGGAGCTGGATCGAAAAGGACGCGTTGCTACTGTGTTTTCACAAAACGGGGTGTCGGTACCGCGCATTGTAATAGAGGGCCCGAGCGGTACCGAAGCGGTACCGAGGCGGTACCGCGCATTGTAATAGAGGGCCCGAGCGGTACCGAGGCGGCGCCGCGCATTGTAATGGAGGGCCCGAGCGGTACCGAGGCGGTACCGCGCATTGTAACAGAGGGCCCGAGCGGTACTGAGGCGGTACCGCGCATTGTAATGGAGGGCCCGAGCGGTACCGAGGCGGTACCGCGCATTGTAACAGAGGGCCCGAGCGGTACCGAGGCCGCGCATTGTAATAAAGGGCCCGAGCCGTAATGAAGTGGCGCCGAGGTGGTACCGCGCACTGTAATAGACGGTCCGACCCAACCCAGATTGTAACCGCAAAAACCCTATATAGTGCATTGCAAGGGAAAATTTGAACGTTGACGCTAAGATGGAACCGGGGCCCGGGCGGAAGCCTGGCGTAGCTTGCAACAAACATCAAGGAGGCGAGCTCAAAACCTCAACAATATCTTTTCAAAACCCCATCCTTCACAACATGCATCAAACAACGACGTCAAATAAAACGAAACAAGGTTTCCTTGCCATAGTGAACGACCAGAGATGGCTCCTGTAAACATACGCAAACATGACAGGCTCCACGGCGCCAAACCTTCGCTTAACATCTCCCCACCCTTCTTTCCTTTCATCCAAAATTAAGACAGACCACAAAATACGAAGAATGGGTTCACAACGTTTGGTCTCAGGGCGCTAGGTCGACTCACGGCGGATGTCCACCACAAGATTTGTAGCAAACAAACATGCACCAAGCGTGCAAGGCTGCAATCAGACTGCCGAAAAAAGCAGCTGACCATTGATCCGTAAGCTTGATTGCTTTCGATCAAGAACATCATACAGGCCAAACGCTTTCTCCCGAGCAATTCTCAACCCTCACAGGTTTTCCAAACTTTTTGCTCCTTCAAGGGATCAAAAAAAGTGATTTTTCTGGACACCAGTTTGGGGTCCAAAAACCCTAGCAAAATGCCAGCCAGATGTCTGAAGCGTCTGGTGTGTTGAATCCAAAGATGGAGGCTCAGCAGCAATCCATGGTGAAGATGTCAGAGGGCCTGTTGGCTCTCGCCGCTCACATTAAAGTGGCGGGGGATGCAGCTGCTCCGGTCACTTCGGCTTTGAAGGGTATGGCCAAGAGCTTGGAGAACGCGACTTGGCAACTTTCAGGATCCGGGAAAGTGACTAACATCTCCATCAAGGATCACCTTTTGAGTCAAGGGAAATTGCTGGGCGAGACGAGTGTCTTGGCAGGAAAGACACTTGATGCCATCGCCAATGCCTGCGAAGGGATTGTGGCCATGAACGAGACCCAGAAGGAGAGCAATCTTCTTTTGAAGGAGCTTGTGGCTGGCCAGAAGTTGGCAATGGATCGTGTTGTGTCGGGAGGAGGACATGCATCGACTGCTGCGGCATTTCCTCCGGTGCCCCCGGCCAATCCGATACCTGCGGGAGGGGCAGGACACTCGACTGGAGTTCCTGCTGCTTTTGGTGGAGTTGGGGGGACAGATCCTGTGAATCCTGTGCCTCGTATCCCGGGGACGAACCTCCCAGTGCTCCGGCGACCCTGGGGACCAGTGCCCTAGAGCACGAAGCCCCGCCAGGCTTCAAGAGATTTCGACTTGCTAACGGGCAATCTTACGGTTCCAGAAAGCTGGATTCCAGAAGATCCATCGATCTGAGTGGATCTTATATGCCCAAGGCACTGTTGTGATTTTTTGAGTGGCCATCTTCGCGGCCGGGAGGAGTGAAGAAGAAACTCCTACGTCACGCACCACGAAAAGTTTGTTCTTCGAGAGAACCATGAGCACCATGAATGCAACCTTGGCTTGACCTTGACTTGAGGCATGCTTGGATTGAACGTGATATGTCAGGTTGAACTCATGGAGAATTTGATTGGAGGCCATCGTGTTTTGTTTCTTGCTGAGTTGAGGGCTTGAAGATTCCTTTTTCAGTTGAAGCTGTGGAGATTTGAGGAAGGAAAGAAAGAAAGCAAGAGAAAGCAAGAGCAAGAAAGAAACAGAAAGAGAAAGGAAGATCAGATAGGCAGGTGGAATTAGACACGTGCAGTGTGGCAAAGGGTTTGTGATCTTAGAGTTTGAGTTTGCTGTGGCAAGACGAGTTCATTTGATTCAGGATGTTTGGAACCCAGTTCATGGCCAGGCAATCTCTAGACTCTAGAGAGTTTCTTGTGATGTCTTGTGCAGTTGCTTGGAGCTCTGTTCATCGCAGGTTTAGCTTTCAGCGAGTTTCTTGCGAGTTCACTTGTGCTTGTTTGCAACCATGTTCATTGCAAGTTTGTGCCTAGGTCACCTTGTGGGGTTTCATCTTTTGCAGTTGATTGCAACTTTGTGAACTTGTCAGGTCTTGAGGTCAGAGGTTTGCACGGCATGGTAACCCTAGATCACATTTTGCTTCCTGAGCTGACAGGTAAGTTGTCCTTGAAAGCCTTGTGCTTTTGGGGATCTCGATGATGAGGTTTAAAGGGTCATTGAGAAAAGGAAGCATCCCATGAGATTCCATGACCCACCTCTGAGAGATCCTCTTTACGCGTTTGACCTTGTTTGATGGCGTGTTGGTTGAAGGTCGAAGTTGATTCTTTGATGGATCTGAAGTTTTGCTTTGGTGGAGCTCGAATTTACCTCTGGATTGATGTCATTGAGATCACCTTTGAGGGGAGAAGTTTGGATCTTAGTTGATGTCTGATCCTTAGTTGCTCCAAGAAAACGAACAGAAGAAGAGAAGAAGACAGAAGAAGAAGGCAGGTAGCCCTAGGCGACCCAAGAAGGGGTGTGAAAAGTAGCGTACATTGCACGTGAACAGCGTATGGCTCACCTAGTGCTTGCATCTTTAGGGAATTTTCGTTTTTAGAGTGCTTGGGGTTGGAGGTGAGTGGAGGTCTGTGCCCTTTTTGTGTTTGACCTTTGACCACCTTAGCAGGAGGATGTTTGAAGTGGCAACTTGTGGCTAGGACCTAGGAACTGCTTAGAGAACCTTTTGGTAGAGCACGATGTCTTTGGAGACTGTTTGAGATAGCCTTGTGTAGTTTTGTGTAGTTTGGAGATGACTAGGTGTAGTCATGTACTCTTTCAAGAAGAGTGGATGAGCTTCAGAGAAGCTTAGAGGACTTTTGGAGACAGTCTGTGAATGACTGTAACTTTGGCTCAAGGAGCTGGATCGAAAAGGACGCGTTGCTACTGGGTTTTCACAAAACTTGACATATGCTAATGTTCTCTTCTAGAACACACATCTGTTGAAAAGCTAGAACATGGTGGAAACAACGTGCCTCTCATGGTCTCTCGAAACGCCTCTCATGGTTTGGTTCTGAAAATAGCCATACCAGGAAATGTGTTGCAAAAGTATATGACACTTGCTCGTAATGTCAAAGTGTTTGATGTCCTCCTGCAAGTAATGCTCTGCAATTTGGGTCAGGAGCAAGAGCATCTGAGAGCAGCCTTTTCAAATCTTTGCGCGATGCCTGGGGGGACTTGTACTCGGTAATTGTGTCCTCTAGTTCCACGTTCAGCTGCAACATGAGCAAAATTTTTTTGCGCAAAGAAAGATGCACATTCATCTCCTTTGACCAGAGCGACAGCAAAGCCTTTCCGAAGTGTCGAATCTCAGAACCCTTGCCTCTCAATTTCGGAAACTTTCCTGCAGCGCGCAGGAACATTGACAGCCTGTTCATATGCCTGAAAAAGGAGTGGGTTTGGTTTGAAGAACTGCCTGAGATAGGCCCATCTATGCTCCTACGAGCAGCCTATTGTGTTGTCCTAGCTTTCTCAGTGATTGAGAACGTTGCTGACGGCAGATGTTTCATGTACGCGCCAGTGGAGACAGACGCCGAGAGCAGCATCAAGCATTCCCAGTTCATGTACCTTCGCTACACAGGGTGTCCGGGCAGAGCTGGCTCACCTGAGCACGCGTGCAACTTCTCGTGTGCTTGCGCTGCGATGTAAGGGCACGAACTCTGCACGTGGAGGTTCGCAAAGTGTGGCTGTGCCTGCCACGAAATCTGCACATGGTGCTGTGCCTGCCACGTAAACTGGAGCTAGAGCTGTTGAAACTAGAGCTAACTGGAGCTGGAGCTCTTGAAACTGGAGCTACCTGGAGCTAGAGCCATTGAAACTAGAGCTACCTGGAGCTAGACTGGGGCTAGAGCTCTTGAAACTGGAGTGAACTGGATTATGAGTGGTGTATGTTGAGTGGCGCATGATGAGTGGTGTATGATGAGTGGTGTATGATGAGTGGTGTATGATCAGTGGTGTATGATGAGTGGTGTATGATGAGTGGTGTATGATGAGTGGTGTATGATGAGTGTTTTATGATGAGTGGTGTATGATGAGTGGTGTAT